TGCGGTGGCCGGGAGCGGCCACTGCACTCCAGTCTGGGCGACAGAGTGAGACTCCAACTCAAAAAAAAACAAAAACAAAAAACAATTCCCATCCTTCCCACTGTGTGAGCCCAAATTAGCATCATCTTTGACTTTTCTGCTTCTCTCCCATGCCACTTCCAATTCATCACCAAATCTTAACATCTATTTCCTCCAAATATGTCCCTAAACCGACCATTTCTCAGAGCTCCCACTGCTACCAGAATGGTCCAAAACCCCTCCATCACTCACCTGGATTATTGCCACAGCCTCCTGTCTCCCTGCTCTTCCCTTATTTCCCTCCATCTGTTTACAACAGAGCAGCTAGTGATCCTGGCGAGCAAGGTCAGATCTTCCCACTCTTCTCTCCTTAAAGCATTCATGATTCTCATCACATTCATAAATGCCTAGCCTTGCCTGATCTGATCTGTCCCTTCACTCTTGGTCCCCGCTCTATCTCTGACTTCACCTTCTACTCCCTTTCCTCTCACTCGCTCTACCCCATATATACCAGCCTGTTTGGTGTCCCTCGAACATGCCAGGCCTTGGCACTTGCTGCTTCCTCTGCCCAGAATGCCAGGCTGCAGGATAACCCCATTTGCTGAAGCCTTCCATAGCCACATCGGACCTTTAGAATTTCAACCGGTCCCTTTCCTGACTCCATTTCTCCTTTCTCTGCGTGTTTTTCTCTATAGCATGTGACAAAATCTTAGGTACTGATAGTTGACTGGTGTATCTTATTTATTTATTATTCTCAACTAGAGAATTTCAGTTAATGCCATTCACTGCTGTATCCCTATCACCTAGAACAGAACCTCCACCTATCACCTAGAATAAAATATCACAATGGATAATATTTAATGGATAAATGAATGATTGACTAAGACCCAGAGAGGCTAAACAACTTGCCCAGGGTCACACAAATGGTAACAGCCTGAATATGCCCATGTCTGTCTGGGATTAGAGCCCAAGCTCTTAACCACCTTATTAGTCTTCATAAAGGAACGTGTCCTGAAACTGTACCCCAAGGCTGATGTTCCTCTTGTCTTCTTTGTTCTGATTACCCAGAACTACACACTGCAGCATGGCACAAGGCTGCCTTTGCTACACTGTCTTTCTTTCTGCTCAGTGGCAGGGATGCTGGCACCTATGTGGGCGGAAGGGGAAGTCTTTGGCATACCTGCCACTGCCATGACAACCAGGTAACCTAAGGACTCCAGAAGTGAGACCTTCAGATGGAAAGAGGCATAAAATGAAGCAAGCTCAAAATAAACAGAAAGAAATCTGTGAATGAAGAAACAACCGGAGTCTTGGGCCTGCAGCTTGCTGTGTCATTGGCAGTGTCAGGGGAGAAATATAATTGCTCCTCAACCGTCATAACTTGGTAGCTGGGAGACCCCTGTAACAAAATACAGATTAGCAAGAGAAAAGCGAGCAAGTTTACAAAATACAGATTAGCAAGAGAAAAGCGAGCAAGTTTACTCGTGTGTGTGTGTGTGTGTGTGTGTGTGTGTGTGTGTGTGTGTGTGTGTGCGCGCGC